TTTTTTTCTTTTTTTTTTTTTTTTTAATAAGGCATCTCTTGTACCGCTATAGAACAATTTCAGTCTCAGCAGAAATTACTTTTTAACAGACTTCCTGAAGACTGCATTATAAACTATATTGTGAATAATCAGGAGTCTCAGTTGCAGTGAGGTATTTCAAGCTTTAACCAAAAAAACTAGGCGTTTTGACAGCTCCCAAATTTTGTAAAGTTGTGACGTGTTTGTTCAGAAGGCAAATCCAGCGTTTGAAAGCTGGAAGTCACAGTGGGGGGTGTGTGTGTATTTAAGCCACCTCTAATTGAAAGGTTAATGCAAACACTGAAGCATCAGGGCTGTTGCTTCAGCTGATGCACCAGTTAAACCCATAGCGATGAGGAAGCTGACACCTGCATGCTGTTATTGCAGCGTAATGGGGTGCCAGTCAGTCATTGCTCCATCCACCAGCCTCCTTGTGTGGAAGGTTAACTGTGTAGTCACATGCTCCAAGTTATAAAATAGGCTCTTAATTTTAAAAAGTGTCTCCGTAATGAAGGTTACATCTGTTTGCAAAGAACACAGATACCGTGAGGTAGAATTTACTAAGAAGCAAACCTTCTCCTTAGGGTTCATCCTCCTCTTTAGGCTTATGTTGCTTTGCAAGTTTGGAGGAGCAGCTCTTCCTACCATCTGGAAGGCCCCCCTGGGAGACGCTGAGGCTTCACCCACTTCATGAATCACTGCAGGGCTGGGCTGCACGACAGTTTAAGAGGAGGTGAGTGCCAGCTGCCAGGTGTCCCCAGCGCTGCTCTTGGTCATGCAGTCAGATCTATGTGATCACACACTCAGCAGGTCTGGGGAGCTGATATACTCTCACCTCCCTCCAAAAAAAAGTGCTGGCACACTGGAAAGAAGGAGAATAAACAGTAGGATGAGGGGAAGGTTGGGACTATGCCAGGCCTGTTTAGACTGTGAACTGCATCTGAAGGGAGTGAATCACAAAACATCCTGGTTTTGTCATTTGCTGTGCCCATCCATGCAGTTGGAGCATGAAGGTTTAATGGAAGCAGTGTGATGCAAACTATCCGTAGCAGAATGTTATTTAATCTTGCCATACTGTAAGTAAAAAGCAATTCTTTATTATGTGATACCAAACAGGCACAAAGCACATAGCACTTGTCCATCTCCCTCTTGTCCCTCAGCATGCTGTGATACAGGTGGAAATGGCAGTGCAGCCTTTTCTGGCCCTCCTGGAGGCAATTGTTACACTTTGCTGATCAAGTTGCTGGGTGTGACTGCTCAACTGTCCTCGTTCAACTGTTCGTGTTCCCTACCTCCATTCATCTTTCTAGGCATATTTAGAAAATGTGGATTATGTCATAGGTTTCTTTTGCACAACTAAGAGATCAGTAAACTCTGTTGGAGAAGCAAGTAAGTAGAAAGCAAGGATGAGTAGCTGAAGTTGCTTTGGGGCTATAAGATACTAAACTAAGTCTTCTGTTTACAGGTAAGTGTTAGCCAGCTTGGCCATCCCAAAGGGCTGGTAGCTATAGATGCACTGAGCATTTTTGCTCAGTTCTGTTTTCAGTGGTTGTAGCTTCCATAGAGCAAGGCTGTTCTATAGCAATTAAGTGAACCTATTTATCATCTAATAAATATTCACCTATTTGTTATTGTCACTCTTTAAATAAGCTATTCTGTTCAGAGAAAACGAATAAATTTGGCTTTTTTTTTTTTTCTTCTCTGGATAGATTTTCTGATGATCATCTAAAAAGAGCAGGTAATCTTTATTTGTGTAAGTCCATGAATATAGATTATTTCTTTTACTCAATTTTATATTGGACAAACTTGTAGGAACTTAGTATCTTTGAGACATCTGCTTCTCTGCCAGATTAACTGGAAATTGGCCACTAGGATTTGAAAGTTACCAGGTGGAAGAGTGGACATAAACACATTATTCCCATTTTTTGAGGGAACCTGACTGTAGTGTCTTTAATAACCACAAGCAATCTGAGTTTGCATTGGTATTTTTAGGCACTATATGTTTGAATTGCTGTAATGCAATCCAGTTTTATATTGCATCTGGGGCCTGGTTCTAACCTCACAGGGAAGGAGTAGAGGATAAGGAAGGAGATGTAGAATTGAAGACTATTTGATCACAGGCTTCAGTCTTCCAGTACGTCAGTGTCTTCAGAGGCCTGCTGGTTTCATTAGGGTTTCCACTGAGCATAGCAGACTGATGAAACTTCAGACTGGGGCTGTAATTGTTTCCAGCGTGTGCACAAGAGAGAAGACATCAGTGTGATTCATGCTCTTAAAAAAATAAATAAATAAAGCTTTAGTTGATTGAAGGAGCATATCAAGGGGAAAACTGAAAGCAGTACAGAGACTGGGGTAGTACTGCAGAGATGTGGAATGGAGTCTGAGGTTAGACAGCAACAGGCTGATGAGTGTCTGTGGTTTTCCTCTGTACTTCCTTCGTAGGGAATGTACACATGATCTGGAATATTGAATGGATCCCAACCACACAGAGCTGATGTCTTCAGTTCCTTAAAGACAGCTAGCAAAGTGGAAAGAAAATATTATGTGCATGGCATGAATCAGTTGTCAATATGAAGCAACTTAGTTTAGATTAATCCCCCAAACAAAACCTTTAGTCAGAAGAGTACAGGGAAAATAGCCACACTTGCATTATTATAAAGGCCAAGGAAATGACAGGCTCCCTGGCCAGGCAGCATATTTTACAGAATCACAGAATCATCTAGGTTGGAAAAGACCTTGAAGATCATCTAGTCCAACCATTGACCTAATATTAACAGTTCCCAACGACACCACATTCCTCAGCGCTATGTTGACTCCACTCTCATATACCTCCAGGGATGGGGATTCCACCACCTCCCTGGGCAGCCCATTCTAACCATTTAGGTACCTTGTATCTTATGAACCTCATAACCACACCCCATGATGACACAAAGAGCTTCTTTCCATTTCCCCCTTCCTCAAATAAACATGGTATACCCCCTCTGCCACATGAATAACAAACCCTGGTGTTGGTGAAGG